CTTTGATGTTGTAACCCAGTAGTTACTGTGATTGTAAATGAATTTTTGTAAGCCAGTAACTACTGGTGTTGTAAAAGCTTTGATGTTGTAACCGAGTAGTTACTGTGATTGTAAATGAATTTTTGTAAGCCAGTAACTACTGGTGTTGTAAAAGCTTTGATGTTGTAACCCAGTAGTTACTGTAATTGTAAATGAATTTTTGTAAGTCAGTAACTATGTTTACTCTTATCATCGCCATTATTATGATCATCATTATCATTGTTGTCATCATCACTGTCATCACCCCATCATTGTCATCACCACCCCCATCACTATCACCACCTCAAAAACTATTATCATCACCACCCCTGCCCTTCATTGTCATTATTACCTGGTTTTCCATCACCTGAGGTAAACTCATGTTCAAATGATTCCTGAAAACAAACCACAGTCCTTAAAAGATCATTTATTTTCAAATTATTAGAAGCAAGCTGTGATTATTCTTCTCCCCAGCCCCCCTCCCACCAGACTTGAATGTCCAAGGAGGGAGGTGGGGTGGGGGGAAGGTATATTCTAGTAGGTTCTTCCTAGGGCTGACAGTAAGGCTAACTAACATCAATTGCCACCCCATTTGTGGTGGAGGTAGTGGTGGAGGAATGCATTTACAACGTTAACTTACAGTTCCAACCCTGTTGATGGCCACAGTAAAGTAGGAGTTAGCAATTGCAGCATTTCTTGCTTCAATAGGCCACATTGGTTCACTGTCACAATGGAATTAATGAGATTGATTATCAAATGCATGAAATGAGGGTTTAATGTATTCCTGTCACCCGGTTGGCTCAGTTGGTTGAGTATTAGTCTGTTGCATAGGATGACCATGTTAATGACGGTGCTCCAGTTTTTGTTTGTTTGATCACATGCACAAGTCTTTTGTCAGGAAACTTTTATGTCCTATGTGTATACACAAAAATGAGAGCAGTGTCTTCATTCATACCTCAAAGCACCAACAGTTGCTGATGGATTAAAAACAATCTCTGCTCCGTTGATACCAAACATCAACCAGTTCAGTGGATGATGCCGAGAATAGCAAATACTTATTCCTATGCGACCTTTATTGAGAAAAACAAATTCAAAACTTAGCATCAACCCAAAAAGTAAAAGAAAAAATGAATTATTCATAACAGATTAACGGTGCAATTTGTGCTACCATGACTGCCTAATAAAATTAATGCTTTTACATGTTATATAGTCAACTAGAAAGTGGGAAAACATTGCAAGTAAAAGATCAGCACCTGCTATGTCGACTGGTCATTTGTCAACTGTGTCACAGCCGTCAACTGTGTCACAGCTGTCAATTTGGTCATTGCCATTATACAGATCTCTGATTGCATATCATATTAAAAAACATTCATTTGGGTAGCCACAGTAGAGTGCACGCACTAAATCCATGAACAATAATTAGTACTAATTAGTACTATTTCATACAGAATCCTTTGTTTCCTATTGTTTATTTATCACCATTTAGTACTAAAAGTTAGTATTTGTTTCACGGGTTTAGTGCGTGCACTCTAGCACAAGTCATATTAAATTCACATACCAAACTGTGTCTGAAACACTGGGTGTCCCATGTTCCCTTCCATGTAATATGTGGACTACAAGAAAACACTAGAGTTGATCAAATACACTTCAACCTTTTAATATACTAACCTCTATATATAATACTTATTGGACACCACTCTCATATGAATACTAGGCTCTGCCCCTTCAGTGTCTTAAATAACTAAATTAACTAATAATAATAACTTTTCTGAAGCATAAATTTTGGATTTAGATGATGGCAGTTTTTAATGAAAAGTTCACTTATTAGTATATTTTGTGGGATATATTAATTAAATAAAAGTTATCATTCTATAAGAAAGCATTGTTTTTCATATCGCTAGTTGGTGTTTACAAACACTAGATTGTGATGTTATTTGCCAACCATTATCAGAATAGCTGTTGCAAAGTTGCTTTCTTTTAAAGCTAATAATTGATCTCTGATCATCATAGTAAATACAATAGCTTTAGGCTTATGTCACAGCAACTAGCACTATAGAATGCTCTTTATCATTCATAAGAAATCAATTTCACAAAATTAGCACATCAGGGGAGAGTGGGTCGGGGGTTTATTACAGGTTTTTGGACTGGGGATCTAACCCAAGAGACCCTAGCCTGTCTGTCTGACTAAACAAGGTTAAAGGTGTCTTGATTACCTCATTGAAGTCCCCTACTCTAGGGATATGATTCTTTCTTGTTTTGCCTATGATGTCACCAGTGTTGGATATTACCACTAGAAACATACAATCATATACAAAGGAATTAGTTACCATATAAAGCCCATTTCCTACCTCTAACCTCTGGGGTTAGAGCTTTTATGCCCAGTTTTGCCCAGGAACTCTTTCTTGCTTTGAAGGTTTCTCTTTTCTCTGGTTTTCAACTCAAGAAATTATTGCATCAAAGAAATAACAGAAGAGATTAGAACTCCTACCTGAAGTATTCCATAGTATCTCACGATGATCAACATCTCGTTCCAATATAGGTGAGATAATTACCATGTTATGCTGCTCGGCAAGCTGTGATATCAAAGTCACCATGGTAACAAGGAATTAGCTTGGCAAATATATGTTTAAACTAAAAAATAGAAATGACTCTTGCAACCACAGAAATTTTCTGCCTTTTACAATACTGTACCGGCATAACACATTATCACAGAAAGTAGTATTTACCTCTTGACACAACTTAACAGTTGGGCCATCAGTTGCTGATTCTGCAAACTCTGTCCATGGCAGCTTTTCTCGAGTGCAAAATGCAAATGGCATAGCTGAGAATAGTAGATAAGGATTATTACTTGGGCTTCCTGTGGAATACCTCAGGGTATTTTTTTCTATCCATCACAAATCACAAACTGGTGTCTAGTGATCATGTGCTTAAAAATGCTGCTGAGCTTATGATGATAAAGGCTCGTAGCATACATCAGCCTGGGTCTAGAAACCACATGCTTTGATATCATTCAACATAGGTCTTTTAAAACGTATTAGTATGCTAGTGATAATAAAATAAAATAATCCTATGGATGTCTTCAAAAGCAAAGAGTACTATATGAGAAGACTTCATGTTGTCTTATGGTCAAATCAAATGGCTTGTTAATGGCTCCAAGAGATATACACACACACACTTAAGGAAAGTAGAAGTACTCACTCCAACATTCTTGAAAGCACATGACATTGACTCCACACAGAGCACCTGAGTCTACAATGTCTTTAATTCTGCCATGAAGAGCTTCTCGCTAAAAGTAAATACAACCATTATTGATAATCAGACTTATGGATTATTAAGATATTTAAGTTTCCCATACATCCTAATAATGGTGTTAATAGCAAACTTGACAGATTAAATCAAGTGTCATGCAATACCTGTTTGGCTATTGGTGCATTAGTTGGTGCTACAATCTTATTTTGCACAGCTCCAATACGCACTATTCTTGGTTGACGTAGCTGTTCAGGTGCAGCCTCTATCTTATAACCAGCAAGCTCAAAATCATGGCTTTGAGCAAACTTCACAGCCTCTTCTGGTAGATTCAGTGGACTATCACATGAAATGTTGGTGTTAATCTATTAACTTTTCCAGATAATACTGTCTGCCTAGCTGATGTTCGTCTCTGATGAACTTAAATGATATTACACAAGACAAAATCATTACTGGTAAACGGTATTGTACTTATTGATAACAAAAGAAGGGTCATTCTTATTATGGGCTGGGCCAGGGGCTGGGTAGGGGGGAGGGCCAGGGGATTGGTGGGGACAAAGGTTCTTAGTACAACACTGAAGGGTCTCTTTTTTATTCAAATTTATATTATACATTTTTTTATGAGGATACTGCGTCTGAAGGCAAAAACACAACCACGATTCCATAAAGAAGAATATATTACTAAAAGCAATATGCAAGAAAGTAATTTAAACTTACTTTAAACTTAACTTTACAGCTAATTAAATTGAGCTTTTACATCATAAAAGTAACCGAGTATATTTGCACAACGGACAATATTAATTAGTATGCTTGTTTAACCCTTCATCAAGTATGCTTGTTTAACTTTTCATCAGGTAAGCTAGCCAACATGTGTTGTGTGGACAACTTAACACCACTCATCTACTCTGCATAAAATCACACACTCCACTTAAAACCGTTCTATGATCACAAAAACATACTATAGAATCTCACCTAGCAGGTTTCCCGTATAGTATTCGCTTGACTTCCTGTAATTCCTCTGGAGGAATGTGCTTTTCAAGGCAGTTTTCCAAGCTTACGATTCGAGCCGCCATCATTACTTGAGTAAAGGGGAGAGGAGAGAGACTGGAAAAAATTATATTCAAACAAGGGAGGGGTGGGGGAATTAAATATTTACTCAAAACTTGTATCAAGACGGGAAAAAAACATAAGAAAAAAATTCAGAAAATGTAGAAAATTCTCTAATATTTAACTGTATAATTTTTGATAAAAAAATAGAATTATATTAATATTGGAAGGAAATATATAAAAATAATATAACGTACCTAGTCCCCACCCCCACAGGGTTTATGTCTCACCCCATGCATCATACGATGAGTTAAAAGTTGATTACCCAGCTGATTACTTTGTTTTCTGACTTTATTACTTTGTTTTAACCTCACTTTACCAATTTAGAGAGTTAAGAGGGTGATCTATATTAAAAATTTAAAGCAGGACTTTACTCAGGGCATCGTGTGACGTGGCGCAAAAATTGCAAAATTCCCTTGACCACTGGAGCGTTGCTAAGAAAGAAAGAACAAGAAAAGACAGTTCGGTTTGACAGGATGAGTTGTATTTTCTGCTGATCTGGCGAGAATAACCCTTAAACCAAACAGGAACGACAGTCAAAGGAGTTTAAATACTGATGATGGCGTCTGTCAGAGAAGATACTCCCAGGCTGATGTGGAGGCCTAGAAAGGAAAACCCTACGAACATGGATGCATTTCGTAATCAAGTCAACCAACATTATGACTTGAATCTTGGTGAGTTTTAAAGCTCGAAACAGCTGTTTGCAAAATAGTACAATTATAACAGTATATTTTCTACATTCATCAATTTGTTCGTTATTTTTATTTTATTTTTGGTTTGTTTGTGAAAAGTTTATTTTTTTCTAGAAGTGGTCGTGTCTCAGAAATGATGTAATGATTTCTAGAGACCTGCTTCAAGTTTTACGCTTTCTAAGCATATTTCATTTGTTGCTATAAAAATACCCATGGAAAGATAAGCTCACCAATAACTCTATTTAACATTTTTTATGCTTGTCTATCATTTTTTGCAAAACTTTAGAGATAAATGAATTCAAACGAAAAAATAAATGTATATCTAGCTTCTTGCAGGACACTCCCCCATACACACCTCCCATCTTACCTATTATTCATAAAACACATATACACTTGTAAATATTATGATTATTTTTTATCTTAACCACTTATTTCTCTAAGAGCTTATTATAACGATCTTATCCATTTACTTAGCTATATATATAAATATTGAATTATGGACGAATATATTTTTAAAAAGTTAATATTTACCAATGATTTCAAAATTGTATATAAGTTATATAAAGCTTACTGTTTACAAATTATATATGCTATTTATTTTTTACTAGTTAGTTGCTTTTTCTTCATTTACTAATTTAAACATTTGTATCATATCAAATTTTTTAGGAACATACTATGAACTATGGGAGTGGAGTATAAAAAATCATTCAAGTTTCTGGGAAAGCTTTTGGAATTTTTCTAATATTATTCATTCACAGACTTACCAAGAGGTATTTATCATCTTCTGATGTTTTTCTAAGCTAGCTTGCTCCCAAGTGCTTGTGCCCTTGGTTTATGACTTCACTATGAAAAAAAAAATTTAAATCATTTTAATAGTGCGATCTCAAAACCTAACTTACTGAAGTTTATCATATGCGATTGCCATCTTTCTATGCAAAGTAACATCCTTAATAGGCCTGTCATATTAACAGGACTTCAGAAAAGGAGGGTTGGTATTTGCCATTCTCATCATAATTTCTGACTTTAGTGTCTGAGTTATTCAATGTTGAATGAGGGAGAGAGGGGGGGGGGGGGGGGGGGGGGAGGGGATTCACACCTTTGAACCAGCCCCCAGTAGGGACTCCGCGTTTAAGGTTCAACAATTACTTGCAGTAATAATGATGATAATTTTAGGTTGTGGATACGAAACCAATGGAAGACATCCCTGAATGGTTTTCTGGAGCAAGGTTAAACTATGCTGAGAATCTACTGCAGTTTGATGGAGATAGGGTTGCCCTATATACTGCAGGTATATGCATGCTCTGACTGTAATCTGTTGATTACGAACCTGTTGCAACTTTTTGAATTAATTCCCATACTGGGGGTCAAACTTAGTGCATGAAAAAGGATTTCAATTCTCCAATTCTTTTGTTTGACCAAGTGCAAGGGTTGTGAACAGATCCTACATGAAAGCAAATCCTTTAATTTGGCACAGGTGAGGGCCAGCAAGTTAACACAATGACATTCAGTGAACTGAAACAAAAAGTTGCTGTGTTGGCTTCAGCACTGAGGAACCTTGGCATCAAGAAAGGAGATAGAGTTGTAGGTAAGTAGAATGTGATTGGGATACCTGTGGATGATCGATTGCTTGTGCAACTAGCTCTACTTATTTCTTAAAAATAAGGGTGATGCATCACTGCATTAGACTTGAGATTGACATTAAATTGTGTTGTTAGATAATGCTTTCAGTCACACTGTGAGAGGCAGTGCATAAGCACATCACACATCACCAGTTTTTGCATTCTCAGTTTCAAATGAACAGATGTTAATTTCTCTCATTTTATGGACACTACCTTAATTCTGCTGTTTAAAGTACATTTGTCCCATGTTTTTTAGGCTACATCCCTAACTGTACTTTGGCTATTGAAGCAATGCTTGCTACTGCCAGTATAGGTGCTATATGGAGCTCTACATCTCCTGACTTTGGTGTCACTGTAAGTCAAGTAACAATTAATGATCTGGTTTTAATAATCCAGTTTCAAATTCTCTGTTGCATTGTGCATAGTATATTATAAAATACTGTTATAAATCTTGCATTCTGATTGGTTGGGAGTGCATGCTTTATAAGAGGACACGGCATGCGTGTGCACTTTCAGTTGTGTCATTCCTATAAGAAATAAAAAACTTGCTTGCTGTGATGTGTGCAGTTATAAAGTCACTTGGGGATTGGAAGAACACTCAAGAAGTGTTGAGAAGCACAATGCTACGGTGTCGTACTTCTCCTAACACTTCTCTTGTTTTTTGCCAACCCCCTCGTGCTTTATTTCTTTTCCTATTTTTCATTAATGTCTTCCAGTGAAGGTTCTGGAAAATTCAAACTGTTTTTCATTGTTGAAGTGGTGTATTCTTTACTTTATGTTGGTACTTACTTGTGAATATCTCAATCAATTATTGAGGCTTACTTTGTCAGAGTAAATAAGTTGGTAATGTTCAAGGAACATAGCAATATTTCATAAATTGAAAAAAAAATGCCTATAATAGCCTCAGTAGTGCACGAGTCAAATAAGAAGATAATATATGTTTAATCTATTTTCTGTTTCTAGGGAGTGCTGGAACGCTTTACACAGATCAAACCCAAGATAATTTTTTCAGTTAATGCTGTAAGATACAACAGCAAAATCCACAATCACTTAGAAAAACTAGCTAAAGTTGTACAAGGTAATACATGATCAATATATGTGACATGAACATCTGCACTTCCCAACACCTGGGTTTTTAACTTAGTATTTAAGACATTCTCTCTGTAATCCCTTAGAAATCCCAGTCGTCATCTCTCCCCTGTCCCCTGTCCTATGCTGTGAAGGAAGATTCATATTTGTTGCATTATCATGGTAGCCACCACTTCAAAATTTGTCCAGTTGGAAAAACTCCAACTTCATCCCCTTGTCCCATGTCCCCCATCCTATTGTCAGCTGCTCAACAGGAATCAAAACAAACAATGAGAGAAAACTTGGTGCTCCGAAGCGAGGACTGTTTGCAATTGACAACAGGCCGATCACAATGGTGGCCTATTATGTCCTATTATGTAGTATCTTTTGCGTATACACAGTTAAAGGTAAAGCATATGGTTTGGATGTTGGATTATTTCAGGTCTTCCTCAACTAGAAAAAGTCATCATTTTCCCATTTGTTGATGCTGATGATGAGATTGAGATATCTCACATTCCAAACAGGTAAACAGATTATAAAATAACTGTCACCTCAAGGACAGCAGAGCATCGTTTAGAGTGAGGGGGCGGCTAATCGTGGGAGTCCAGGCAAATGCCTTCACCCTCCCCTGAAAAATTTGAATTATTGGCGCTCTTGGAAATTACAACAAATTTATTGCATTAAATTAAAGTCAGGTCAAAGCTTCAGGCAACGTTTTTGGCCAAAAATGTGGGGAGGCTTATCACCATGGAGCCCCACCCCCACCTTTGCACTTACTGCAGCTTTTTATTTACAGATGCCATTTTCGTTGATCTAAGCAAATGATATTTCTTTGTTTTGTTATCAACCAACATGACAGTCAAATATTTGCAAATCATGTATTCCAATATTAATGTATTAATAATATTTTCTTTCTTTTTCTTTCTTTCTTTCTCAGTATATTTCTTTCAGAGTTTGCAAAATTTGCAGATGACTCACCTAAACTAGAGTTTGAACAGGTTCCCTTCAACCATCCTCTGTTTATTATGTACTCATCTGGTACGACTGGTCCACCTAAGTGTATGGTTCATTCAGTAGGGGTAAGTACAAAATTCCTCCACTCCCCCTCTCCCAATCTAATATAATTATTACTAGCATCAAGAAACCTTAAATGAATAGAAATAATAAATACTTGCTGTAAGGTTAGAGATGAAGCCGTTTATTAAGACTTTTTATGTCTTGTTTGTTTAGGGAACATTGATTCAACACTTGAAGGAGCACATTCTCCATGGTAACATGACTAAAGATGACATCATCCTCTACTACACCACAGTAAGGCATCTATATAGTTTCATTAGACATAAGCTTTATCTTAATTTTTTTTCTTTGTATTTCTTGTTGTGTAATGTTTTCTTTCCTTTCTTTCCCTTTCTTTCACTTCCTCTGCCATTTGCTGTCTTTATATTATATTTCATCATGTCTCTTCAGACTGGGTGGATGATGTGGAACTGGTTAGTGTCATCACTCGCTGTAGGTGCTTCTCTTGTCCTCTTTGATGGTTCACCATTCATTCCTCATCCAAATGTCCTATGGGATCTGGTAGACCAGGTTGGGTAAGTGATACTCATTGAAAGAGATTGGACAAAAAAACGTACATATTATCTTCTTTTTAGTTCAATCATGAGTGAATTTCTTAGTCTTTCATAGTATAATATGTTGCTCATATACCAGGCTTTGTGTGATTGAGAAAGTCACTCAGTTCTGGACATATCATGCCGTGACCGTGACGTTGTCGTGACCAAGCATTCTGATTGTATGGCCAATGCTCTCGGACCTTGTGATTGGTTCAATGGATGTGGTCAATTCCATCCCATGAAGTTTCACAGTCACAATATCACCTTTCGATAGCGTTATGGCAGCGCGCGCTGTACAAGTTGCTGCAACTTTTTACCAATCAGCCTGCAGATGTTATTACGTTAAAAAAATGAAGTTATCGAGAAAAAAGTCCTCGAAATGTTTGCTCAATTACAGGCAAATGAGAATAAGATAATTGAATGGTGTGATTTGTCTTTCTTCAGTATAACGATACTAGGGACAGGAGCCAAGTGGCTACAGGCTATTGAAGCTAAGGGTATACGTCCAAGTAAGTCCGTCCAACATCTTCACTTTGATACGTATAACATCACCTGCCGCCAGATCTCTTTCGTAAATGTGTCCAAACCAATTGTTATCTTACGGGGGAAGGGATGGGGTTACTTCTGGAAGTCAAATAGTGCAAATGGATGTAATTTCTGTTTGCATGTACAGACACCGAGTATCGAGCTGTTCAACAAGTCTATAGAGGAAGAAGGGCAATTTTCCAGTACCCACCAAATTACTTAATGAAGTCAGTTCCCTATTGTGGACCATCGATTTGACCTTGCTTCTATAAACATCTAAGAACGAGCAACGCTTCGACAGTATTAATATTTGAATTGTTTTCAGAGGAAACACATGATCTCTCTATCCTACACACCATATTATCAACTGGTTCACCGCTCAAACCCACAAGCTATGACTATGTTTATGGGCACATCAAGGAAGATGTACTATTAGGGTCGATATCAGGTCAGCAATTGTTTGTCTTCCATGGGGGATGGGGGGGGTGTGG